ATTGATGATCTTCTCCCATGTTATTAAAACACATTCTATACCTCAAACATGAAACTCACAGTTCTGAGCTTGCTATACAGCTAGAGAGACTACTGCAAAAAGGAACTTCACCCTGATTTTAGGTACAAGCACACATGTACTCACAAGGAGGTGCTATGCCACTTACCATGATGTCTGAGTTGCCTGAGTCATGAGTCTTAGAATAATGAAATAAGAACTGTTCAAAAAAAAAGTGGGGTTTTACTACAAAACAGGCCAAGGGTGTTATGCTTTTCTTGACAATTTTAGTGTGATTGTAAAACATACATAGAAATCTTACCCTTTTGGTGTTGTCTTTTTCATCTAAACCCTGTGGGAATAATAATTGGTAGAGAGCCTTTATTTGTTAAAAATAAGAGTGCAATGGACAATTTTGATTATATTATAAACTCTTCAGTACTGGATTGGAATATTGTCCTTCCTTGACAGATATATTACATGCCTTTGCTTATCAATGTAATTATTATTTTATAACACTGTAGAGAGCATTGATTACTCTCCACTAGAAGAGTAGATGGGTTTAGTGGATGCTCCTTTGTATATCCCTAGACTCTCTGAATTAAATTCCTTTCTTCATTGAGAGCTCCCAATTTTTCTAATCTAGAGCAATAAAAACACCTAAAAAATTGTACCCAACGTGGAGATTGTTTTCCAAACACTGGAGTCTTCCTGTTATCTTTAATAGGTGTTGGATTAGGACACACAGCATTTCAGAGTAAGAACTGATAGTATTACTTCCAACACTGACTGACACTTCGGATAGTGGCTCCTCAGGATTCATTGAGAGACCAGGCTTCAGAAATGCTAAGTAGTCTTTTGTGTGTGTTACCTGTGGTTTCTGGAGAAATCCCGTGACCAAAAAACAAAGCTCTTCCAGTGGACTGGACACCTAGTGCAAAGAAAACATGAACTCAGGTATCACACTTCCAATCCCACTGCATATACCAAATAGTAACAAAATAATAAAGTAACCTCTGACTCACCTGAGGCTGAGAATCTGTGGACAGGTAGGCAGAACATGCATCGTCTATCTGTAAAAGTTCACACAGTCCTTTTTAAGAAGTCAGATTAATAAAAACAAGCATATTGTCAGAAACAGTTCAGTGCAGCTAAAGGCATGGCAAACTTGTCCACCATAAGGAGTCCTTATAGGTACATTCATGAAATATTTTGTTTTCAAGGGGAAAAAAGGCCTTAACCACATTAAAAAAAATATATATATACTTGCCTGATCTGAACAAACACATACAACTCTATGTCCTTTATTCTCTTACCCGCCTAATGCCTCTCTTATGTGTAACCTGCTCAGGCTGAGTCACACTTTAAATTACAATTTTAAGCATCTGAGGTATGGACTATGAACTTAAATCTCTTCTGTACAACACTACAAAGAAAAGTACAAAACTAAAGCAAGTGATTCAATGAGCAGCCCTCAAACATAACCCTTCCAATTGGACTGCAGCATCGCTGCAGGTGTATGACACATGCATCTCTTGAGTGATTATGATATATGCCAGCACATCTTATGCGTGCCACTCAATTTGTGCGAGTCACCAAGCAGCCAGTATCTGAGGTTTGCAGTGATTTCTTTGGCAAATGAGGAGCCTTGCAAGATTTTTTTAAAGAAGGTGGTTCCCAAATCACAGTACTAGGAAGAGATCTATTCAATATATTTTAAGGGATCTAAATTTAAAGAGCACAGTGGAAAAAGTTATTGCTAACTAACTTAGACACATCAGCACAGAATGGAATATGTCACACAGAGACACAAAACCAAAGCAAACAAATCCACAAACCAAACCATAAAGTCCCAACTCCAATTTTATCTGGATCAAAACAAATGTCTGTTCAGCTCTACACCTTATCTCCAAAAATGGCCAAATGTCAACAGTTGGGGAAGAGCCCAGGACATAGCCAGCGGTTGAGTAAAACCCATGCTCTCCAACCCCCAGCAATCTGCAGCGCAAGCACTTTGAGTTGGAAGTAGGTCCTTTGTAATAAAGCTCAGTGGATTTATGCGCTCTGAATTTGAACAGTATCCCTCTGAACCACTGCAAACTTTTAGCATCCACAATGTCCTGTGGCAAGGGTTTCCTAAACACTGCATGAAATACCACTTCTGTTTGTCTTGGTCAGTCTTTTCAAAGCTACCTTCATTCAGTGCAATCATGATCTTGTCTTGGAAGGAGCAATGAATAAGTGATTCCTACCCATCCTACTCCCTACTGTTCATAACCTTGAACAGACAAATAATCACATCCTCCTTCTGTTGTCTCTTTTCCAGATGAAAGAATCCCACAACACTGAATAATTTTTAGTGCAGTTATTAATCAAGAAGAGAGAAGAAACGGAATGAAGGGTATTTGAATTAATGGAAGTAATACTACCAGTGCACAAAGCTCAAAGTATTCTGTAAGGAAAATTAAAAATCTCTAGTACTCTAACTGAAGCTGCACAGTTTAATAATAACAAAAAAAGATGCTTAACTTTTCATTATATAGTTTTTAAATTGTATCAATAGCAACTGCCATTGGTATGCACTATTTTTTTCCATTGTTATTGTTAATCCAGATGCCAAAAACTTTGCCAATCATGTTGTTTGCAGACTGCATAAAAAACATGTTGGTTTTTTTTAAATAAAGAGTAGGGAATGCAATGGCTCTTATGATTTTATTATAGGCAAAAAGCCATAAACAGCACTCTCTAGCAAAGAAAACATTAAACGAAAAAAGCAATAAACAAATAATGCATATCTGAGTACTTCAAGACGAGATGATTCATTTCTCTAGAGACGATCTATGAGAAAGCATTAGCAGAGATAGTGGGAAAGCTAATAGCTCACAGAATTCCTCTTCTGAACAGTTTTTGTTAGCAACACATCCTCCTCATTCTCTTTTCCCTTCATTTTGCATTTGTTTGGGTATATTAGTTGAGCTTCACTACTTTCAGGGTAAGAAAATGTAGAGGGAGAAATCAGCAGTAAACAAGATAAACTAAGCTGAAGTAATTTTGGAAGCCTACATTAAAAATTTGCCGTTTCTTCTTGGTGAAGGATTTTTTTTTTTTTTAATTGCTTTATTTGCTTGTTTTGTAGTTGGAGGTGACTCTTAGAGAACTACCATAATTCAGTAGCAGGACAAGCCAGAGACTGCTTTGTGTTCGACACAATGCAAGGCAAGGTATCTCTCAGCTAAAACCTGCATGGACAAAGGAAGGGCTGAGGAAAAGCCACAGTTTCTGTTAATTCCTTTTTTAAAAATAAAATTTTAATAGTTTCTATCACCCTTGATGCATCTTCTCTGTAATTTTCTCTCCTACCTCAGAAATGTGGCCTGAAGGTGGGAGCTTGTGAGTTGTATGGGGTTGGTTAAATAACATAAAGAAATAAAAGGATGTAAGAGCCAAGTAAAGGAACACAATACTCAGTTACAAAGTTCCCACATTTATAAACTCAGAGTCATTCCTGGAAAATATTAGGTTAAGTTAGAGGCAGGGCATCTCCTGAATGATCAACTAGTAAATTAACAAACAGGGAAGAATGGATTCTTTTCATTCCAAGAAACTCTGATGAACTAGCATGATTCTGTAATCAAGCTGATTAAGGGTATTTAGCTATGCACCTAATTCTCTTTCCTTAGACCCTCTCCAGTCCTCCATTATTCTTGCTATGATAGCAAGTTTGATATCGCTTATATTATGTAATTTTACACAGAATTCAGTATCTTAAGCATACTTTTTCTTCCCTGAAATCAACGGGAACTTTGCCTTTGTTTCCAGTCACCACAGGGACAAATCCCGTGTTACAACTAGCAAATCTTAGCAATAAATACATAAATGTATAAAACACCATTTTAAATCCAGAATGTAAATAACTCATTTTTAAAAACTCTTTATAGGATCTTACTTCCCAAGACCATCACTTTTTCCCAAGAGATAAATATCACCAGAGCTTGTTCAAGTGCCAGCCTAGAGAGATGTTAGGTTTTGGGACAATACTTCCAATACGAACTCAGGGGAGCTGACAGTAAGTGAAGTGTCTCCTGTAATGGCCTCAATAGGAAGAAATTTACTCTCAGCATCTGTACCCCTGGTGAGTCATTTGCTTTCTAATGTTATCAGAAGCTACAAAACTAAATGTCAATGGAATACTTGAAGGTTACAGCAACGCCAGGGCATGCGAGTTGCAGGCTAAACGCTCTCTGCGTGTTCTGCCCTGCCACTCTGCCGGCTCCAAAAGGGCAGGGAAGAGCCCGTGTTAACACGTGTCACATCCTAGCACCAAAACAAATGTTCATTTCAAAGATGAGTGTGGAAGTTATGGCAGCGATCAGTAGATGTTAGAGGGGCTAGCTGACATAGTACATTATCCTTTACCTAGTAAATTGAGAGGCTAGGCTAGGATTAAATACAGTGTCCCAACCCTGTGTGCAGAACAGCAGAAGCAAGAGGTAAGAACAGGTGAGCTGAAACAATTCCTGCATATTGTATATATAAACTATATATACAGACTATATATGCCAGACTATAAAACTACCAGATGTGACAATGTGTTGCTTCCAGGGACAGTAACTGCCTGGTCATTGACAGTTAAATAACAACTCCTAAGAAATGTAGGTCTCCATAGAGACAAGACAGTCTTTTCCCAGAATGACATCTCAACACCCAGCCTCAACATTCTCCTGGAACAACTGTTCAGAAAAATCTGGAAAATAAGATGTTTCACCTTTTCACTGACGTCAGCATAGGAAATGTACAGGAGAAGCAGGACTAGAAGAAGAGGCACCTGAACTCTGTGCAAGAGAAATACTCAAGAGTGAGGTGTGACTGTAGCAAGGATGGGCACAGAAGAAATGGGAGTATGCCACATGGCAGGTGATGCTTACCTCTTTCCACAGCTGCAAATCCTCACGTGCCTCGAGTGCTTGGGATGGCATCGGTGCCCCTGGAAGCACAAACTGTGCTTAGCAATACTGTACAGCAAAGGTCATCTGTATAAGTATCCTGTGTCAGTGATTTACATAAACACTCTGAACACGATGTGATACCTAAGCACACTTGCTAACTGCGAAGTCTGAGAACTGTGGGGTCCAAGGAAGTCTGCTGCCTCAGGTATTGGGGGCTTTGTCCAGTAGTTTCTGCCTGCTCTATGTTAGCAGTACAGCAAGAGGCTTCTTCCCAAGTGCACAGCAGATACGGACGCTCATATCCCTTAGCAATAAACAGTGTGGAAATTAAATAGGTTTCACTGAGGGTCAGGTTAGCATTAGTCCATTCTCAGCAACAAGTAGCAGGCAAGAAAATTTGCATGGCAGCTCTTGAATGCTATGACCTGCTCAGGAAAACACATTCCAGCACCTATAGCCTTGAGCTTTCTGAGAACTCAGCTCACCTCCAGCGCATGCACCGCAAGTTGAGAATCTGGATCCTACCTCTTGCTTTCTTGTATGTTACAATTAAAGAATTAAACATATGCTATGTAACATACACTTGCATATGAATAATGCCCATGATATGAATGTGATGTTTTTGTGAAGGTGGGAGACAGTACATGCGTAACTGGTGCTGTTTCCTCTATTTGGCATATGTGATATGGAAAAAGTTCAGTCCCTTAGAAGATTAAATGTGTTATTAATTGCATAATGCTGCAGTGATGCCATGCTTGGCCTGGGGGCAGCTTCTTTGCCCCTCTCTGCCCCCCCAGGCTGCAGACCTGGAAGTCACTGTTTCTGGGTCCCTCGCCACTCAGCACCCAGCGTATCCATCTTTCCACATTGCTATTTTATCTGGCAGTATGTTTCTAATAGCAATGTATTGTTAGAGTCTCTGCAAATAATAGAAAAGAGCATCACTGAATTGTGAGCACACTAGACACCACGCAAGCGTATCCTTGAGGGGATGTGTTATAACTCACCTGGGAGGGACATTAGTGCTGGAGAGGGTGGTGCTTTACCTATACAGTCCTAGCACTGCAGGAAACCCTATGATCTGCCTGACCGAAGTTGCTGCCCATGAGCCATGCCTAACCAGTTTATACACTGTTCTTAAAGACCTCAGGTTAATAGAGATTTTATAACCTTCCAGACAGCCTATAATTAGGCTGTGGTCACATTTTTGTTTCAAAGAATTGAGCCGAATTATGCAAAAAAGAGGTGAAGATAGGATTAGATAGAATGGCCAAGTGAGCAGGGTATGAATGCTCATCATCTCCATTTGTTTTACATGTACAACTAATAACAATAATTACAACAGTAGTTAGTTCCAGGCATTAAGGGGTGGATTTTAAAATCACATTTTGGTACTGGCACAGACTTAAGGTGACTAATTATTCTGGATGCTTGTTTTCCCCAAAAAAGGATTAGAGGGGCTCTTAATTTCACACTACATAGAAGTGGGATATTTTTTAAATCTCCAAGATGTTCACATAACAAGAAAAGTGCTTTCCAATGAAAAATTTGCTTTTTTGGATGGTTGTTTTAGTTCAAGGAAAAATGCCAAATAAATTAAAGGTGCTACAATTCTCTTACTTTATTTGCTTCTCTTAAATTAGTGTATTCAAATTGGCATATTGCATGGGACTGACATCCTGGCTGCAAAGAGAGTGGAACTGGGCAGCGCTTCAGACTAACACACCTTCCCCATTAAACCTTTGCCTCCCTGTCTCTGAACACTGCTTCTGCTATTGCCTCATTCCCAAGGCTTTCCAGGGGGGAGCAGAAGAAATCAAATATCCTCTAAAGCTTAGGGCTGCAGGCGAGAAAGCCTGAAGGTTACGGCTTGCCCTTCGCCCGGAGCATTGACTTTTGGACAGAGGAGATGCAATTGTTTCACCAGCTCCTAAGTTTCCTTAACCCTTCTCCATTTACCCACAAAACTTATTTCATGTGCAGTCCCATCTGTTTTGTGCTCGCTCCTAGGACTATGTTGCTCCTAGTCCCGAGCAGTGTCCCTCCATCTCCCCATCCAGAACAGTGCTGCAGTCCCTACATGACTTCATTTACACACATATACAACAGCACACACAGGGAAACATTAAGTTATTTTGTGATATACACATTTACATCTTCTCTTTTGTGATATACACAAAATAACCATGAAAGAGGTTAAAAAAAAAAAAAAAATAGAGTGAGTGCTATTGAGGAAAGCAATCCTATTCAAAAGGAACATGGGAGGAGGAAACCGACACTGTCCACAACGCATTTGTTCTCTTATCCTTCAATTCTGCCAATTTCTAAAAACACAACTTCTTCCAAGGCAGCAGAATGCCAGCTGCACAGTTGCAGTCACTTTTCAACCTGGGATTCACTTTTTACATCTTCTCTTCCCTCCACTGCTGTCCCTACGCAAGCTCCTGGAAATAATTTCTATAAGAACAATGATGAAGTACTGTGTGCCATTTCTCATCCTTGCCCTTCGTTTCCTTCCCTCCTCTCTTGCACATATCCATAATATATAACAGAATATTAAGTATACTGTACTTAGCTTTCTTTGATTCTTGATATTTAAAATAAACACAAAAAAGAGAACCAAAAACTCCTGATGAAAGCAACTCACACACTCACACCCCTATAACATAAACAAAACGAAAATACTCCTTGCACAGCAACTTATTTTGTAAAGTTACTTCACAGGGTATAAGTCAGTTAACATCTAAGTAGTTAATTTATCTGGAGTGGGGAAACAGAATAGAAACGACAGTATGTTTTGTTAAAAAGTCTGTGTTTTTTCCACAAGCACTCCCTGCCACAAAAATAGCAAGTTTCAGGTGTAAGACAACATTTCAAACTAAATCGAAATAATCAAGCTCTACGCCTAAAGCAGCTCAGTAGCACCGTCCCTTCCTATTATTGCATGAGGAATCTCCACCCCCAAGGATTCCTCATGCCATAAATATTGCTTCAGGTTGGGATAAGCGACATCCACAGTGTCCGAAATTTTCCTACAGTTCCGCGCTATATATCGTTTCTCTTTTGTTAGCTTTTCAACCAGAGTAAATTACATTTAAAAGGAAATCGCCTTTAACAAAAACCACTTCCCCAAGTTGCTGGAGCATAGTACTTTTCCAGGACGGGGTCATCCTGCCGGGATACAGAAGGAAGCCCCCAAAACCAACCCCGACAGCGTGCCCGGCAGCGGCAGCCCCCCTCCCCCGAAATACCGCAGGGCTGGCCGTGCAGGAGGGGGTTGCGAGGGGATGCTCCTCACCTTTGCAAGCAGACATGGAGGAGGCGAGGAGGAGGAGCAGGAGG